TTTACTGGATAGGTATGAGGCAAGATGTGGAAGATGGTGCAGGACCTGCAGTACATGTTGTGCTAAAAGAGGGCCCAAGCATAAGGGACGTGCTTCAATGAATTTATATCAAGTTGGCACACCAATGGAAAGAGTAGCTGTTGACATTGCTGGTCATTTGCTCCAAACTCGTGCTGGAAACAAGTGCATTTGTGTGGTGATGGATTATTTCACAAAGTGGCCTGAGGCATATGCAATACAAAATCAGGAAGCTACAACAGTAGCTTCTGCTATTAGTGATTTCTTCTTCAGATTTGGTATGTCATATGAACTGGATTCAAATCAAGGCCGTAACTTTGAATCAGCTGTGTTCCATGACTGCTGCAAGATGTTTGGCATACGAAAGACCAGAACAATGCCACTTCACCCACGGTCTGATGGGATGGTAGAAAAGTACAACTGGACACTGGGAGAGGAATTGGCAAAGTTTTGTAATAGCCTCCAAGATGACTGGGATGTCTTACTCCCTCCACTGTTGATGGCCTGTAGAACAGCAGAGCATGAAGCCACTGGATACACTCCAGCAAAGTTGATGTTTGGTCGGGAACTTCAGTTGCCAGTGGATCTGATAACAGGACGCCCACCTTACGAAGAGTTGCCTGAAAATGTCAGAGTTTGTGAAAGTGTTATCTGAAAGGATGGATGATATTCACCATCAAGTGCGTTCAAACTTAAAAACGTCTGCTGATTCAATGAAGCTATGTTATGATAAGAAGTCTACTGAAGTCAGCTTTATACCGGGTGACAAGGTGTGGTTGTATAATCCCAGGAAGACCAAAGGGAAGTCTCCTAAGTTGTCTTCTCCATGGGAAGGCCCATATGACATAGTGGATCGTCTCTCAGACGTGACTTTCCGAATAAAATATGGTCGGCGAGGTAAGCCAAAGGTGGTGCATGCCAAAAGGCTTTGGTGTTATCATGGTCCAGGACATTTCAGTTGGGACGAAGTGAACAATGGAGCAAAAGACGCCACTGAAGACGTGTCACCTGGAAAGGCCACTGTCGAAGAAGAAACTCTACTCAGTTTTGAGAAGGAAAACAATGAAGCCCTTCAAGAAGTTACTACTACTGATGTGACTATTACGAATAATAGGACAATTCCTGATGGGGCAGATGAACCTCACATGAAGCAGAAGCC